CCAGAAGTGATGAAACGGGCTCATTTTTCGGCCTACAAAGGCTGCAGAGGCTTCCCTCAAGCCTCTGGGAGGCCAAAAAAGGCCTCAAACAGCCCGAAAAATCAGCTGAGAGGTGCAGTGCAGGTAAGGGGGCAGCAGAGGGGATCGCACACGCATGCGCAGGGGGCGTGGGGGGCCACGTGCATTGCCTTCTAGGTGCTGGCACGTGAGCGCACAAGCACGCACACAATTTTTGGCACAGGAGCCCAAAAAGGTTAGCCACCACTGACCTCACATTCCCGATCTTCTGCAGCTGCTCCTTTTGGTCTTTGTGGTCCCAGGTCCAGCCCTCGCACTTGGGTCTAAGACAGGGGTGTCAAACTCAATTTCATTGAGGGCCACATCAGGGCTGTGGTTGACCTCAGTGGGGCGTGGCTGACTGGGTGGGTGTGGCCAGCTTGACGCCACTCACTGGGTGTGGCTGACTGGGTGGGCGTGGCCACCTGGATGGGTGTAGCCAGCTTGACACCACTCCCCAGACTGCTGGCCCAATTTTTCCTCTTCGCATTGGGTAGACCGGGCTGAAGCGACACGGCCTGGCCCCTTACATTTTCCAGGATGGTCTCGCGGACCAGATCTGACCAAATCGCGGGCTGGATCTGGCCTACGGATCTTGTTTTTGACAGCCCTGGTCTAGGACAACTTGCCAGGGCCAATTTGCAGCAGGACAGTTTGTCACGGAACAGGATTTAACACTAATATCGAAAGAAATGTTGGGATATAATCATTCAGTAAAGGATTCGAAAGGAGGGATGAAGTGATATGTGAACAACAGAAATTAAAATGATTTTTAAGATTATTTTAACTAATTAAATTGAATCGTTGAATTATCCTGTGTTGAGTTGTCTTACGGCGGAGGTCTTCAAACTTGGCAACTTTAAGACTTGTGGACTTCATCTCCCAGAATACCTCAGCCAGCTATGGAAATGGCTGCTGACTCAGGCCCTTGGCTCCCCACTGCCAAGAGGGAGGGTGACCAGAGATAGGAAAAATGGAGGAGACCAGTGGTGGGATTCAATTTTTTTTTTACTACCAGTTCTGTGGGCGTGGCTTGATGGGTGTGGCATGGCTTGGTGGGCATGGCAGGGGAAGGATATATACTGCAAAATCCCCATTCCCTCCCCAGCCCACTAACCGGCTTTCCAGCTCCGTTCTCCTGTGCAGGGCAACCAAAGGAGACCCAGCCGATCAGCTGGGACTCAGGAGGCAGAGAATAGATGGGGTTGGCAGGGCCAGTCAGAGGTCGCATTGGCCGGTTCTCCAAACTACTCAAAATTTCCCCTTACCGGTTCTCCCGAACTGGTCAGAACCTGCTGAAGACCACCTCTGGAGGAGACCCTTCCTTCCTCCTTTCTTTTGCAAAGCAGCCCAATTTTTTTTGCGAGAGGCGTTTCTCCCTTTCGGTTCACGCCTTCAGCACCTTCTCTCTCTCCTTGGCAGATCCTGGGGCTATTGTAGAGGCCCAGACGTCAGTGCCCTATGCCATTGTGGGGGGTATCCTGGCTCTTCTCGTCTTTCTTGTCATCTGCGTCCTCATCATCATGGTTTGGTGCTCCATCCGGCAGAAAGGTCAGTAAGCGGGAACCCAGGTGGGTTTCTTAAGTAAACCTCGTCCCTCAGTGCTGGCCAGTAGGAAGCTGGTGTTCTTTTTCCGATTGCTTCTCGGTGGGCCTTGCAAGCATGAATTTGGGGGTTGAGCGTTGGGTTGAGATGCTAATGCCAGGTGGGACCAGCTCTGCTCGATGTCTCCCCCCCCCCTTGGGAATGTGGGAAGGAGGACATGACACCTCTCTGCAAGCTCCCCCACCCCTGTGTCAGATTCCAATGCTAAAACATAGAACCGACACAGCCAAGAGAAGATTCCTAGCGCCCATTCACCTGCTTGGCCTCTTCTGCACTATGGCCGGCACCAGCTGTTTCTTCCCCAAAGCCCCTGAAGGCAGGACAAGAAGCAACAGACGGAAACTGATCAAGCAGCCTAGAACTTAGGAGAAACTTTCCGACAGTGAGAACAACTAAATCAGTAGAATGACTTGCCTGCAAAAGTTGTGGGTGCTCCAACCTTGGAGGTTTGACAGAGGAGATTGGACAGCCATTTGTCTGAAATAGTATAGGGTTTCCTGCCTGAGCAGGGGGTTGAACTAGATGACCTCCAAGGTCCCTCCCAACTCTGCTATTCTGTTATTCTCAGTGCGGTTACCGAATGCAGAGACCCATTAGGAACCACTGAGTGGAAGAAGTTGGCGATGGACGGTGCCTAGTGGTACCCAGTACCTATTTATTGATTGAAAGAACTAATATAGCAACTACCTCACGGTGTTCCTAGGCAGCGGTGGGATTCAAAAAATTTTTTTATTACTGGTTCTGTGGGCGTGGCTTTGGTGGGTGTGGTCGGGGAAGGATACTGCAAAATCTCCCTTCCCTTCCCACCCCACTAACCTGCTTTCCAGCTCCGTTCTCCTGTGCAGGGCAACCAAAGGAGACCCAGCCAATCAGATGGGACTTGGGAGGCGGAGAATAGATGGGGGCGGGGCCAGTCAGAGGCGGTATTTGCCGGTTCTCCAAACTACTCAATATTTCCTCTACCGGTTCTCCAGAACTGGTCAGAACTGGCTGAATACCACCTCTGATCCTAGGCACAGTCAATAAAAACAAGATTAAAAACAGAGCAAGCCCTTTCCCACCAGGTGAAAGAATAATCATATTGTGGACCTCCATTCAGCCCTCTTCTAGCCCATTTTCAGGGGGAAGTACCAGGTCTTCTCTGTCTTTCAGAAGGCTAGAAGATAAGGGCCCCTGAATCTCAGTAGACTATTCTGAAGGTCTGGGGCGTCTACAGAGATGGTGTGCCTCCGAAGCCCCCCTCCCCAATAGAATTTCTATTCTACCTGACCTAGTGGGATGAGCAGATACCTTCAGCCTCACAAATAACTTGGCCTTGGACATGCCTTAAATAATGTGCCAGAGCTAACAGCATGTAGGTGTGTGAGTTGGGTTGAAATACGATGGCACTCAACATGATCTACGAGTATCATGGTTTGCTGGTTCTCCTGTGGCTTGCAAGAGTTATTATGGTCTGCCTTCCTGGACTGAAGCTGCTGGGTTTTTTTGGCATCTAGTCGAATTGGATTCAGCCCTGATGGGCTGTGATCTCATTTCTAATTTTTAAAGACGAATCTTCCAGGAAAGGCAGTCTCATCTTGGAGCCACAGCTGTAAAGACTTCTGTTGCAGCCACACAGCTGCTGCTATGTCTCTTCTGGGTCGCAACCTCTGAAGGGCACTGGATTGACAAAGGCTCTCCAAACCATAAAGCCAGATCCCTGGCTGGCTCTTCCTTGTCATCTTTGCTCTGTTGCCCAGAGAATAATAACAAGGTTATCCTTCCAACCTTGTTAAACCTGAAGCATTGGGAAAGGCTGCATGACATGATCAGCCCAGTTTCTTTTCCTGGAGTTTTCTTTTTGTGGAAGGGAGGTCTCTAGAGTTGAGGTCTGCAGTCAACTCTTGCTTCTTGTTCTTGCAACCATCCTTAGATCACCCCTCAAGTTGATTGAAGGGTGGTCCAATCGGAGTGGCATTCTGGGTTGGTTGGTTGGTTGAATCAACTTCGATAGCCACCTCAACCAGCAACGGTTGTTGAAATGTGTAAAAAAAAAGGTTCCTCAAAGGTTCCTCATCGTTTTATCCCTTGCCCTGCATCCAAAGCTCATCTGATCAACTCCACCGATGTTAGCAAGGAGAACAGCCATCATGTTTAATCCTTCAGCTTCCTTACCTTCCAATTCACGGAGGAGCAATGCTGATTTTCATTTCTCCCCCCGCTGCTTAAGATATTAAAAAAGCGGCAGAACGCAAGGGAACCTTCTATTCAACCAACAATAATTGTGCTAGAATCACCTCTAGGAGAAGAATCAGTTGTAGGAGAGAGACTGGTAGAGCCAGGGGGAGGAGCAGGGATGGGATTCAAAAATCCCAGCAACCGGTTTGCTGCCCATTTGCTGGGCAGGCATGGCCTACCGGAACTTCCAGGAGGGCCGGTTTTTTTGCCTTCCCAAGGGTCCAGAGGCTTCCCTCGGGCCTCTGAGAGGGTGAAAATGGCCTCCCCTGGGCTCTGGAGGCCCTCTGGAAGCTGGAAACAGGCCCGTTTCCAGACTTCCGCTACTTCCGGAAGTTCCATTTTTCCCCCTCCCAGAGCCTCCGCGCAGACCCTGCACTTACCTGCATTGAAAATGGGCCACATGGAGACTCCTGAGAAGGGAGGGACCCGACGATCGGTTCAAATACCGGTTTGGGGAACCAGATGCAAATTTAACATCCGGTTCGTCCAAACCGGTAGAATCCCACCTCTGGGGAGGAGTCAAGAGGGTCATCAGTTTAGAATTTTTATGTTGTCACAAAAGGACAAAATCTAGCCCCCTCCCAACCACCACAGACCCTTATTTAATTCTACCCATGTGCAAACCAATACTGTGAGGCAATTCCTATGCATAAGTTTGAGCAGTAAATTAGTAATTTTGCACTTTGACTACAGACCTGGTTGTTTGCATCTGACACCAACTTAAGGATCAACTAGACAAGAGTGGAGGCAGTTTGGGGGACGCGCTTAATCCACATACCTCCTCTCTTTCCCCCACTCCAACCCCCTTTTCTGCCCTCACAGGTTCCTACTTGACACACGAGGCCAGCGGGCTGGATGAGCATGGAGAAGCCCGCGAGGCTTTTCTGAACGGCGGAGATGGTCATAAACGCAAGGAGGAGTTTTTCATCTAAGCCAGGGGAAGGAAGAGGAGGAGGAGGAGGAGGAAAAGGGGGGAAGGGGTGTTGGGAGAAGCTGGCGAAGGAGGGGGTGCACTGGAAAGGGGAGAGGGTTGCAGAAAAGCTGTTGTTCCGGCTGTGGGTGGGTGGGGAGGACTGGCTTCCAAAAAAAAATTGGGAAAAAATGAACGAAAAGATGCTTTAAGGAATATAAAGCCCCCATTGTGTACAAAACCGACCACCGGCGGCTCCCACTCTCTTTCCCGGTTTGATTTTCCAAAACCGAGGATTTTTTTTAAACCCCTCCCCTTATCCAGGAAGCTCCACCCCCACCCCGAAACTCTCTGCCTTCAGATGCCTCTTTCCACCAAAACCCTTTCCTCCCCACCCTGTTCATTTGGTAGGGCTGGGTAGGCATGCTTAGCACTGTCCGCCCCCCCCACCTCCAAAAACAAAGTGGGGAGGGGGCAGAGCTGCTGCATTTCCCCCCCTTTTGGGGTGGAACCAGTACTTCGGGGGAGGGGGATGTTTGTAAATAAAGTCCTAACGGGAAGTGGAAGACACCCCACCCCCCCAATGGGAGGTTGAAGGCGAGGGACATCCCTGTGCCCCCCCCCAACCCTCCCAAATTGCTTGTTAGGTCCGACCTTCCCAGGTATTTTAGCACTGAGATTCACAGTATTTGGGGAGGGAGGCAGGGCTAATGGGGGGAAAAGGTACCCTGGTCTTCTGGATGGATGGAGAACCCTTGACCTGGAGTTCTGGGTTCTGGATGACCCTGAAGACCTTGTGTCCGTGCTCCTCACCCTCCGCTCTTCAGGAGTGCCGGCGTGATGGCCGTCTGCCACGAGGGGCATCTTGGGGATGTCTTTGGGGTGGGGTGGGGTGTCTCTTTTCGGCTGCATGCTTTTCCCGGTCAGGGCCGGGCTGCTCAAGGACTCCTGGGCTGTCAGAAGCAGGTTTTATTTCTTCAAAGCCATGATAGTTTGGGGAGGGTAAAGGAGGGAGGGGGAGGGAGGACGAGGACAGGGGGAGGGGGTGTCTGTCTGTCTGTCTGTCTCATCCTTGTTATTGTGACATTCTTGGCCGGAGGGCAGGAATTGGGACCCCACAAAGCCCACCGGATCATCCACTTCCCACGCCATGTTCACCTCGTCATCTGTCCCATCTGGACAGCACAGCTTGTTGGGCCAGCTTCTGCGGGAGGTGGAAGACCTGCCTGTTTTTATTGTTACGTTTTCAAGTCCGGCCGGCTGAAATATATTGGTGAATGCAGATTAAAGTTGACTTGTCTCCATCTCCTCCTCCTTTCCTTTTGACCACACGGGGAGCCCCTAGGCCAGGAGTCTCCCACGTTGGCCGCTTTAAAGACTTGTGGACTTCAACTCCCAGAATTCCTCGGCCATCTTTGCTTCAACTCCCAGAATTTGCTGGCTGAGGAATTCTGGGAGTTGAAGTCCACAAGTCTTTAAAGCGGCTAAGGTGGGAGACCCTTAGCCTAGGCTACCCTCTCCTCTTTCTCTTCCTCTTCTTCCCTTCTCTCTTCCCCCCACCTTTTTCTTTCTCTCCTTTCCTTTTTCTCTCTTCCTCTCCCTCTCCCCTTCCCTCCTCCTCCTCCTCCTCCTCCTCCTCCTCCCCCCCCTCCCCCTCCTCCCCCTCCTCCTCCTCCTCTCCCCAGTCCATCTCCTTCAGAAGAAGCTGATTTTGGACACTCTGCAAAACGAAACAAAACAAACCAGAACCAGAACCAGAACTCAGCCCCAGGTTTGGATCCTGTTTCAATGAACTTCACCTTCTAAGATGGCAGCGGTGGTAGAAGATGGGTTCAGGAGCCACTGTTTAAAAAAAACGCCTGCTTTGCCCCAGGGGCAATTGAAACGGACTGCTGTGGATTTAAAAGAGGAAAAAAAGGCCTGGAATAGCTGAATTTTGGTGGAACGCCTTTCCTATCTCACCGTTCCAAAAGCAGCTGCCGTTCCCCGGGCCTTCTCCTTGTGCTTTGCCCAGGTCCAACCCTCCACCCCAAAAAAGGGGGCATTTCCAACACATTCTCTCAACTTCTGACCACGTCCTAACACCTGGTAATTCCCGATGGTTCCTTCCAGGTTTTTTGCCGACTTTTTCTCCGTTTGTGCCAGTAAATGCCCACCCTTCCCTGCCAATCTCCTGCAAATCTCCCCCTCCCCTCACCCCTTCCCCTTTGTCTCTTGTCCGGGGAGAAAACTTGCAAAACAAAAACAGAAGAAGAAGAAACTGACCGTGTGATTCTGTGTCCGTCTCTGGCTCGCAGTTTTTTTATTTTATATTGTTTGTGTCTTGGAAAGAAGGGGAGATTAAAAAAAAAAAAGGAAAAATATAATAATTAATATATAACTGGGGATTGGGATGTGTATAGAGGGGCTTATTCCTCTGCAGCCCAAGACTGTTTCCCCCGTGCCCGAAAGTTAATATATATGTAAATATCTATGTCTGCCTTTTAACCACCTTTGATACTTCAATAAATCCCCCTGATTAATTCTTTTAACACCAGTGGTTGTGCGATCCTTGTTCATCAGCGTGCGAAAGCCTGCAGTGAAGGTTGCAGAACAAAGGGGGTGGAAGGGGGAGTGGGCAACCGGTACAGAATGGGTTACATCCCCTAGGCCAGAGGTGGGGAATGATGGTTCTTTTATGACTTGTGGACTTCAACTTCCAGAATGAAGCATGGTTGGCTCAGGAATTCTGGGAGTTGAAGTCCACAGGTCATGAAAGGGCCCTAGTCCCCCGTGCTGGCTCAGGAATTCTGGGAGTTGGAGTCCAGAGGTCATCAAAGGGCTCTAGTTCCCCGTCTTGGCTCAGGAATTCTGGGAGTTGGAGTCCAGAGGTCATCAAAGGACCCTAGTTCCCCGTGCTGGCTCAGGAATTCTGGGAGTTGGAGTCCAGAGGTCATAAAAGGGCCCTAGTTCCCCGTGCTGGCTCAGGAATTCTGGGAGTTGGAGTCTAAAGGGCCATAGTTCCCCGTCCTGGCTCAGGAATTCTGGGAGTTGGAGTCCAGAGGTCATAAAAGGGCTCTAGTTCCCTGTCCTGGCTCAGGAATTCTGGGAGTTGGAGTCCAGAGGTCATAAAAGGGCCATAGTTCCCCCAACCCTTGTGCCAGGCTATTTTCAGTTTCAGACATCACAGGTGCCCACAGTAAACACAGCAATGGGGTCTTGTAGCACTTGTAGTATCTCTGCCCAGCCTGATGCCCTCGGAAAGAGCCATCGCTGAATGCGGCATTTGACTGCTTCTCTCTTGTGGAAGAGGAGACGGCTTTGAAGGGCCCTGAAACCCTCTGAAATACAGGTTAGTCCTCGGCGTACGACCCCAATTGAGGCCAACATTTCTGTGGCTAAGCGACACATCTGGTTAAGTGAGTTTTGCCCCATTTTATGATCTTTCTTGCTACATTTTGTCCAACGAATCACTGCGGTTGTTAAAGACAGCAACCCGGTGGCCGAGTGAATCTTGACTTTGCTTGTCAGAAGGTCGCAAAAGGCCCTCAGAGGAGGACCCCAAGATACTGGAACCATCATCATCACTTTGATCACGCAAGCATGTAAGGGTTGTAAGTGTGAAAAAAACAGTCATAAGTCGCTTTTACAATGCCGTTCTAACTTTGAACAGTCACCTAAGTCAAGGATTACCAACAATTTGGAAGAGGTTGACATTGTTACCCAACTGTGCAATACCACGAGGACTTAAAAAGCATGGGGGTTACTTACATTTTAAACACTTCATGACTGTCGGAGGGAAGGCTGAGTGAATCTTGAGCCGATCAGAATCGAACTACTGGCAGCTGGCAGTCAGCAGAAGTAGCCTGCAGTACTGCATTCTAACCATTGTGCCACCACGGCTCTTGGTAGTACCAACAAAGCCCCAGCATTGTTGGTAACAGTGGTGGGATTCAAATTTTTTTACGGTTCTGTGGGGCGTGGCTTGGTGAGCATGGCTTGGTGGGTGTGGCAGGGGAAGGATACTGCAAAATCCCATTCCCTCCCCACCCCCACTAACCTGCTTTCCAGCTCTGTTCTCCTGTGCAGTGCAACAAAAGAAGACTCAGCCAATCAGCTGGGACTCGGGAGGCTAGATGGGCCCCAGTCAGAGGTGGGATTTGCCGGTTCTCCGAACTACTCAAAATTTCCGCTACCGGTTCTCCAGAACTGGTCAGAAGCTGCTGAATACCACCTCTGGTCGGTACCGTATCCATAATTAGACATTACATTTATGCTTCTCAAGTCCTACTTTTTAGTGGTGGAATTTAAAAATAAAAAAATAAATAAAGCAGGAATATCAGCTGTGCCACATGACTCATACCCTTGGACTTCAATATTAGACTGTTTCTAGAGATTACTTCTATTTTCAGAAAGGGAAATGAGAGATTTGCTTACTTCCCCAAGCATCCATATGGATCACACTACAGAAATAGATCAGCCTAGATCTTTGCTCTGAAGCATCTTCCCTTCCATGCTTTCTCTCAATAGCCTTAGCAAGGGAGTTTGGACGAGTAACAAGCTGTGTACCTGAGGAGGGATTTAAATGAGGCCTCCACCAGAGGCTGTTAAGAGTCCTCGACTTAACAACAGTTCATTTAGTGACCATTTGAAGTTACAACTGCACTGAAAAAAAAACAACTTATGACCATTGTTCACACTTAATCACCATCGCAGCATCCCAATGGTCATGTGATCAGAAGACGCTTGGCAACTGGCTCGTATTTATGACAGTTGCAGTGTCCTGGGCTCATGTGTTCACCTTTTGCGACCTTTTTTATATAGTTTATTTATACATTTTCAATTAATATATATGTGCTTTGTGAACAGTGTATTGTCTGAGTCAGTTGCTTACATAATAAAGTTTTCCCATCTCCCAATTTCTACTTCTATTATCCAACTATTTATAAAACAAATCCCCTATTTGAAAATATTCTGTATCTTCCTTCTCTTTCATCTTTAATGTCAGTCTATCCATTTCTGCGCAATGTAATTTTTTTTTTAAATTACATCTTCTTCTCTTGATGTTTCCTCCTTTTTTCAATACTGTGCAAATAATTTTTTGCGACCTTTTGACAAGCACTAAACAATCATGTTACTAACTTAACAACTGCAGTATTTCGCTTAACAACTGCGGCAAGAAAGGTCGTAAAATGTGGGCAACGCTAATTTAAAGTACTGTCTCCCTTAGCCACAGGGATTTGGGGCTACAATTGTGGTCGTAAGTCAAGGATGACCCCTAGAATCTTTGGCAGGTCTTTTCCAGTGGTGGGATTCAAAAACTTTTATGGGCATGGCTTGGTGGACATGGCAGGGGAAGGCTACTGCAAAATCCCCATTCTCTCCCCACCCCACTAACCTGCTTTCCAGCTCCGTTCTCCTGTGCAGGGCAACCAAAGAAGACCCAGCCAATCAGCTGGGACTCGATAGGAGGTGGAGAATAGATGGGGTTGGCAGGGCCAGTCAGAGGGGGGATTTGCCAGTTCTCTGAACTACTCAAAATTTCCGCTACCGTTCTCTGAACCGGTCCAAACCAGCTGAATACCACCTCTGGTCCTTTCCTTTCCCTGCAATCGCCATTAATGTGCTCTTTGCTCAGCTTTTACTCGAGGTCGTCATGTCCTCGCAGCTGCGTCTCACCGTCTTGCCGCCTTTGTTGCTTCCACACCCTGTGCCCACATTTTGCGCTGCTCGTGGTTCAGCCGAAGACTTGCAACAAACAAACATTTAAGTCCGATTCAGCTGGAAAACAGAGCCGGCATTCTGGCGCTCCACATTTTCCGCTGCCTTCCATTTCTTTCCTTCGCTCTGATTTTTATTACTCCAGAGGGTTCCTGCCCAGCTGCCATCTGTCATCCTGTACAAAACTCTTTTCTGCTGGAAAATATTTCAGCTGGGAACTCCCAGGGGAAAATATATATATTTTAAAACAATCGGAGAAGTGGGTGGGTGGGGATTTAATGTTAAACAAGATGGTATAAATTCTGCAGTTTGTAGCTCTTTTTAAGGAAGCAACGACGGCACCGAAATACTTGGGGCAAAGCAGCAGAACCTGCCCAACCATGCACCATGCTTCACTAATGTGCAACAATCGTTTCCCCACCAGAATTAGCTCAAAGGCCTTTGGCTGAGTGTCCGTTCTTTGGATTACATCACATAATCACAACTTTCCTCTTGATTTTCATTCTAGATCAGTAGTATCCCATGGACTTCCCCTTGCCATAATTTCAAGTGGACATACTTCCCGCACATTACAGAATTACAGAATAATTGCGTTGGAAGGAGCCTTGGAGATCTAATCCTTTCCCCCAAGCAGAATATCCTGTACCAATCTGGCCGAATGGTTGTCCAAT